AAGGTCTTCCCTGTCGAGCGGGGGGAAACCAAAGGTTCAACATTCACCGTAGTGTATGGTGCATGCATGCTGTGGGGCCGGACCATGCGCATTCATGCAATTATCGTGTGCGTGTGTGTGTGTGATTCGAGATGAGCCCCAGTTGTGTCGACGACTGGCAATGGTTCAAATGTCTAAGGTAGATTGTTGTGCTATCGTCTACCGCCAGTTTCGAAGGCGACGCGAAAAGCTGCGGTTTCACCTAAAGCCAAAAAGAAGGCCCGACCCCGAACCGTTAAACCCGAAACATTAAACCCTAAACACTTAAACCCTAAACCCCTACACCCTTGAACACCCCAAACCCTAAACCCAAATCCCTAAACCTAAATCCCTAAACCCAAGTCCCTGAACTCGAAACCTTAAACCCAAGTTCCTAAACCCAGATTCCCTAAACACCCCGAACCCTAAACCCAAAACCCTAAGACCTCGTGGTGCGAGGCGCAGCAGCTCCTGCGGCCCAGCGAGAGCAGGGAAGAGGTGGGGCTTTGGGGGAACGTCGTTGAGCCTCTTAGGGTTTAGGGTTGGGGGTTTAGGGTTTAGGGTTTGGGGTTTAGGGTTTTGGGTTTAAGGTTTTGGGGTTCAGGGTTTGGGGTTTACGGTTTTGGGTTGAAGGCTTTAAGCCTTAACCCGAATCAAGCCGTCCAACACTGCGAAGCCCACGCCTTAAAGCCACCTCTCATTCCAAACATAGTGAGCGTCATCATCACCATCACCATCATTCTCATCTTCATTACCGTGGTCATGAGCCCATCAACGGTGACAAAAGCTTAAAGCATTATGTATCAGCAGCAGAAAGCTGCGGGAATAATGACAGATCCACGTGTACTAATAGCTGTCATTGAATCGTTATTGCCCCTTGTTTTCCCGCTATTATTGTACAGCCTCAAGACCTTAAGCTGGGCCTATATGAAATTGCTTCAAGACCCCGGGAGCCGTTATCCTGACAACAGCAAGCATGGTAGCAACAACGGGGGTGTTTGTCAAGGAGCTAAGCTCAGTGCCATAGCAAGAAAGCCGCACAGGCTAGAGTCGCAAACCCCCGCTATGAAGGAGGGGCACCTCCAGCGTTCCTTTAAAGGCTTCCCATAAGGGTACTGTAAGGGTACCTGTGAAGGGCTCTAGAAGGGCTTCGAGTTCCCGAAAATCAGGGCTGACTGTCAGGAACATGTCGGAGGCTCGCTGTAAGCATATGCTGCTAACCCTAGCCCCTGAACCCCCTCAACCGTAGCCATTTTGGCTCAAGCCATTTGATCAGCTCTCAAGTGTTCCAACCCCTCGGGATCCAGCTGGATTTGTTGGACTTTATAACGGCAATCTGATAAGGGTAGGTTTTTGATGGTTAATGGAAAAGTGATTGAAACTTGGCTACTTTGCCGACAAGGAGCTATATCACCACCGGGATCCTCAGGAATGATGTCACGTGAGGTATGTCGATCATTTTGTCACGCATATGCATATTACTGTAGATTCGCACGGCATCCCAACAACATTAGTAGCCACACTTGGGGCCTCCACATCCTCCAACACCACCAAGGAGAAGGCTGGCACCACAGATCCCCACAAGGTCCGATATCGTGAAATGACGCAAAAATGCTCATAGCATGTACCATTAGTCAACACATCGCTGCACCTCCATGAATGGAAGGGTCTCCCAGGAGATAGTCGTTCGAGCCGTAAGACTGAAGTAATCCTTCGACGCCATGCTGCGATTGGCGAATGGACCCCTTTTGCAGCGTGGGAACGAGGTGTTCGGCGCTACTTCCAGCATGTTCCCGCTGCTGCCTTCCCTCATTGGCTTCGTCGTATTTGCTGCCTTCAATGGACGCCACTTCGACGAGGGCCTATGTTGGCTGATCTCGTGCATCCAGATTTTCGGGCCTTTGTTGAGTGCCGGGGAGTTCCTTTCAAATTCGTGGCCAGTGGCGCTTGGAAGTCAGCTCAATGCTGCTACGCTTCAAGTGAACCTGGAGCAAATCCTAAGCTGGCGCAGCGCCTTGATATTTGTTTCGGCTGCTGGTGGGACGCTCCTGGTGGTGAAGCTTTGGCAGCCATGGCATGGCCAGAAGCCTTTGTGCAAAGTCTTCCTGAGCATGCGCTTTGGGGATGACGGCCCCGTCCGCCAAGCCAAGCTGCTGAAGCGCGAGCTCGAGCGGTTTCAGGTGAAGGCTGTCATTGTTGACACCCCGGCTGGTGAGGACATCACCCGATGGACCTTCACCGAGCTCCGTTCCTGCCACTTGTTCGCGGCCCTCGCCACTGAAACCTATGGCGAGCAGACCAAGAACAAGGCGTTGCCGGGAACAGATCGCACCTTACCAGACGAAGAAGAAACATTGCCCTATGATGCGAGCGATGTGGAACCGCCAGCACCTACGAGCCGGCGGAGAGTGGAAGACCGACGAAGGGGTCGACAACGAGTGGGTACGTCCAGTGAAGCGAGCTGAAAGGAATGAGAGCTGCTCTGAAGGCTGTAAAGAAATTGGCTAGACAGGCTGGAAACCCTGACTCCATGTTTATCTTTAGTCTGCATGTTGAAAATGTATGATCTTGCTTATATGGGGAGAGGGTGGTGCTCCTGCCATGTCAGCCGGCTGCACAGAGTCACCGTTGAGAATCGTCCGGTGAACAGTGATTTGTGAACTAAAGGTTGGCAAAAGTGTGGTATGGTGTAGTGTACGTGTATTAGCCCTTGTTTAGTGATGGAATGGTGCCTTTATTTTGTTGCGTAGTGTTGCCAACGACTCAGAAGGCCATGTCGAGTGCGCTCCATGCCTTGGGCAGTGCCACTGTCTTGTATGGTAGTATTCTGATAGGACTTTACTTTTGGTCTGTTGGTAGAGGTGATTTCTTGTGAACATAGGCAATTGTGGCATGCTGCCAGGAATAGGGGAGGCCGTGGGGACGTTGTTGTATGCGGGGTAAGCATATGTGGTAGTGGTGGTGAATCCCCTTTCATGCTTTGGCCTCCCCGTCCATTCCCTCCGCCAAACCTGATGTTCTGGATAACCTTCGGGGCAGACGGAAAAGAGGGGTTAAAAAAAAAAAAGAACCCCCTCAACTCCCCAAACCCTTCGGCGAACCCCAAAGTTGGAGCCCGGATTTAGGATGATTCTGGCCTCTACTTTCCCTAAACCAAGAACCCTCAACTCCCAAAACCTTAGGACGAAAGCTAACTGCTAAAGCACAAGCGGGCACCAAACAAAAGACGGAATCCCAGCCCAAGCCTTCAGACAAGCCTGCGAGGAGCCCAGGGCGGGAGCTACCGAGAGGGAGAAGGCGGCGTCGCGCCGGGGGCTGTTTATCCAAAAGACTTAGGGTTTAGGGTTTAGGGATTTAGGGTTCAGGGTAGGGGTTTTGGGTTCAGGAATTCAGGGTTTCGGGTTTTAGGGATTTGGGTTCCTGGGGGAAGTGATGTTGCCTGCTGTCGAAACCCCGCCGGGCTATTGGGTAGCAGTCGGGCTCGTCCTCTTGTTTAGCGAGCCGAGCCCGACTCACCTTTCGAGGTTTCATGTTCCAGTTCATTGTCCGCCTTAAGCCTCAAGCTGTCATCATTTACTGTTCTTTGAAAGGGTTGAACATGGGCACATTTACCTCCACCACAAAAACTAGTTCCTGGCAGTTTACTGTAAGCAGTTTTGCGGTTCCCTATGATAGTACAACGGGCCCCAAACCCCTATTCTAACTAATACTATTACAGTACCCTTATAGATCCCTTATAGTAACCCTTCTAGACCTCTTGCAAGGAACCCTTATAGATCCCTTAGAGTAACCCTTATAGACTTGTTTCAAGGAACCCTATTCTGATTATTAAGGCGCCTACATCAGTGGGTCGACCCAGCTCCGCGCAGGCTAGAGTCGACCCGAAGCCGCCGGCGAACTGAAGCACTCTCGGTCGTCGTAATCATGTGGGCAGTTCTGTAAATTAGGGTTTGGGGTTTAGGGTTTAGGGTGGGTAATTCTCTGAATTAGGGTCCTTCTGGGGTTCCTTTTTAGGAGGGTGCTGCCTTCTGTTGGGTTCCTAAACAGGGACCCGCAACGCAGAGAAGCACAGATGTAAGTTTGGTGTAGGAGTTTAAGGTTGTTGGTTTAGCCCGTGATTAGGCTTGAACCCCGTGGGGAACCTGCTGCGGGTTTCCCAGTTCTTATCTTGAGATAAAAAAAGGTGGTCGCCCGTATTCTGTTAGACCCGAAGCTGTACATAGGACGATGCATGCCGTTGCAAGTTCAGAACGTGTAACAGTGAGCCACGAGCACATGCTCACAAATACATGTGCATATGCAAAGGTACCTGTGGAGCAGCTTTCCCGCCATGCATCCGATTCGCAAAACTTGCAAAGGTGCAAATGCTTAGAGCATCTCGAACGAAATGCCGCAGCACTTGACGTGGTGCAGTTCAGGTGCAAAATGGTTCGTGCCCTAGCATCAAGCCCTCACCTGAAGAAACCAAGCAGCTGCTTTCAATCGCCTCGAGCGACATGGCTGTCTAGGATAGCATGGCTCATTAGACAGTGACGCTGTCTTCCAAAGCGAGCAGAAGAGTTTATGGACCTTGCGTCTTGAACCTTGGCAATCTTTGCTTTCAGCCTGAGCTCGACTCCTCCGTTCCGGTTTTCACTATATCGTCGTTACTGTTTTCATTTTTATTATGCGAATTTGTTTTACTGCCATGATTGTCGTTGTTATGATTCTGATGAAGGCTCCCAAACTCTCGCAGCAAGGCAGGGCCAGCTGGCTTAAGCTTCTGGGGGGGGCCTTATAGGCCTAGCCTTTGACAGAGAGTTTAGAGTTCGAGGTTCCAGGTTCCAGCCCGAGGCCTGAAGTCAGCCAATTATGCTGCTGTCATCTTCCAGCGTGGCTCAAGCTCTCCTGTTGATTTGCCAAACTCTAGTTAGTAAGAGTAATAGTAATAGTAGTAATAATAGTAATAACAATAGTAATAGTAGTGCCGGGCCAACCCAGCCATGTGCCGCACATTGGTCCTGAGTTTCTTCCTGGTGCTGGCTCGTGTCCAGGCGACGCGTATCCTGGAGGGTCATGGCGGGACCACGCAAGACGTGGAGAGGATCGGGGTTGTAGGCAACTCTGTGAAGGAGCAGCATGCTAGTGACGCTCGTGTGAGAGATGCCATCGACGAGATCCGTCGCAACGCCGTGCAACTCATGAAAGACATCGATGATGCTGCGAAGAGCGGTAGCAAGTGGGAGTTTTGCTACGAAGCAGGGATCTGCTCTGGCGATAAACCTAAATGCTGCCCCTTTGTAACCCCCGGTCGCGCCGGAAAATTGGTCCGCCGCTGCGTTAGCTATTGCTCTTGGTGACCATCCCTTGTCACCACCCCAGAGACTCCAATCTCCCTTAATTAAGGAATATACCGTAAATCATATAAGGGATCCTACTATAACTTAAGGTATATTCCTTAATTAAGGGATATTGGAGTCTCTAGGACTCTGATCGGCAAGCGCATAGGTGTCGATAAAATGCGCTGCTGCGTGGTCTTGGAGCTTTGGGGACCTGGAGGGTGGAGGCAATTCTGGATTCTACCCAGAGGCTCCATAGTAGTTCCTTTTTGGGATCTTGTTATATAACCTTACCCTAGGGCTCCATAGTAGTTCCTTTTTGGGATTACCTTATAGGATTCTAAATAGTTCCTTTTTGGGATTACCTTATAGGATTCTAAATATGAACCCGAAAAAGGAACTACTTTGGAGCCTTAGGGTAGTAGTGTTCTGTAAAGGATGGCTTTTCGTGACGCAGGTTTGTGGACCGACGCCATCCCCACTGAAACTCCAGGGCTTAGAAGTTTCAGGTCGCAAAGCTTCAGGGTTTGGGGTTTTGGGATTGGGGAAACGTAGGTACCTGATTAAGAAACCCTGGGCCTAGAACACCAAAATAGTAGGATTCTTACAAGGAGCCCTAATGAAGGCCCAAGGTTTCTTAATCAGGTTCCTACATTATGGGATTTTCTGCCGTCGGAGGGCAGATGGCTACTGTGCGTTCGCAGCCGTGGCTGTTGTGAAGCCCTAGAGCCCTTAGGCGCCTTGATAAAACTTAGAATAGGGTTCCTTTACTTGGCGTTCTTCTGGTTGGCTCTTAGGACTTTAACTCTTTGGGTTTCTATATTAGCTATAATAAGGAGGCTAAAAGTTTAACTTTTAGGAGGGGTTCAAAGGTCAGCCAAGTTTAAAAAGGGGTCTATGGGTTGCTATAGGGGATCTATAAAGGTATTAGAATATAGGGGTCTCAATAGTTCGAACAGGGTTTTGGGGGCCATTCTTATACCATTATTATAACAAGGAAGTATAGGTTTTATTTTGACCGTCGCTGTGGCTTCTGGTTCAAGATTTGCTGAAGCCTTGGCACGACAAGCTGCCGAGTTGCCCGCACTTTGTGACCGCGTCTTGACGGCGAGGCCGGCGAGGGAAAGGTCCAAACCTGCAAGCTTGCGAGCTCTGAGTGAGCCTAGCCATTCGCACTTCGATGTGCTGCGGCTGCCGTGGGCCTTCTGCAAGAGTGCATGTCGCCGCACGTCCCATCTGCAACTCGCAGCTCAATTCTGACGTGCACTGCAGCTTGTAGCTTATCTGTAAGGGTGTCGCATGAGTGATCTCACACCATCTCCGCAGATGTCCATACATCCATGCCGCTCCATGCAGGGGCGCCCCGTGCCAATGCCTGCTTACAAGGCCCCGGTCATGTTGCCTGCATGTGCTCATGCGTATGCGTGACACACGACGGAGCCCGTGATGCCTTTCCGTCGCAGGCAAGCAAGTACCAGTATACGGATGCGCCTGCATCGACCTGGTCCAGCAAGGACTTCGGATTCTGCAGGGTTTAGGGTTGAGGGTCATGCGTCGGTGTGCTGGATGAACAGGGCACAGCCCCAGCCAGGAATACCAAGATCTGACGCCCGAAAAGGCCGCAAGCTCAAGTGTTCGATCTGTTCTGTTTCTGTCTGTGTGATGTCTGGATTTCATGCCTCCGCCCCAACACGTCCAAACATGCCGGATAGCTCGAAATCTAGGACCTTCAGCTCGGGGACCTGTTTCTGATGATCGTGCGTCTCATTGTTCCTGACAACATAGGGGTCTGAGTTCTCAGAAATAAGATTTCCCTATAGGCCCTCTTTGAATCGCACATAGTATAGCATGCCCCAAAACCCTACTCTAATCATCAAGGCCCGTGCATTCCTCCGTGGTTCTACTTGTCACCTTTTATTCTTGCGATTCATCCCAAACTGCCTCTGCAATTTAGCCTTCGGGTTCTGGGTTTAGATTGTCTGCTACGGGATCGTTTTAGACCTGCGAGGCTGCAATCCCAAGCTGAACTCCAGGATCTACCCATAGTCTCCATTGTAGTTCCGTTTTTTGGTTATGTAACCAAAACTCTATTGTAGGATCCTAACCATAAAACTGGTTAACCAAAGAAAGGAACTACAATGGAGACTATAGGTAAACCCCAAGTTCAACAAGCTCCGCTAAGCCGACAGCTGCCTTTCGACCAGTGAAGCCCTCCGTACACCCCAGCAAATCCTAAACCCCTTAACTTAACCTTAGACCTCGAAGCACTAAATTCCCAAACCCCGAAACCCCTAAACCCAAAGCCCTAAAACCCCAAACTGCTCAACTAGGTGACAATTTGGAATTTTTAAATTTCCCTTGTGGTTCCTATAGAGGTTCCTTTTTTCTAGATACTTTCCAGAGCCCCAAAACTACAACCCAGTCAAAGCCTAAACCTCCTCTGAGACCACTCATCCCTGAGGTGCGCGACTGGCGCCGGCCTCGTGGTAGGAGGGCACAGCCTACCTGGCAGGAGGAGGCCCTGGGCGCTGGAGAAGTACATGTGGGTAGTTGCCAAAATTATGGGATCTTATAGGGCTCCTCTAAGGGATCTTTAAGGGTTGTTTTAAGGGATTTTACAGGGTAGTTGCCAAAATTATGATCCCTTTATGGGTGCCCTAGATATTAGGCGCCGTATGATAGTAAGGACCCAAAAAAGGGACCATAATTTTGATAACCACCCATGTGTGTATACATAAATATGTAGGTGTATGTATATGTATATGTATATGTCTACGCTTTAGGGTTCAGGGCTTTGGGGTTCAGGGTACATACAATCGTTTTCCGCCCTAGGTGTTAGGTTTAATATTAATCTTTGCTCGTTTGGTTTTCGTTTTTTTCCTGCATCACTTTTGATTTACTGCCCAGTCAGTGGCCTTCTGGGCTAGAGTGAAGCCTGTCAAGCTATGTGCAGTCCAAAACCCCCAAAACCACAAACAAAATCGGAAGCCCTGAAACTAAACGGAGAAACCCAAACCGAAACCGGGTACAAAATGCACTCTCCTGCGCCCCACGACCGCAGCTTCCGCAGGCCAAGCAGACATGGCACGCCCCTGCCAGCACTGTCGTCCGAAGGGCTTTTGCTGAGGCTTTAGGAGTTTTTGGGGGTTTAGGGTTTAGGGTTTAGAGTTTAGAGTTTAGGGGTTGGGGGTTTGGACCTTCAGGAGTTGTTGGCTTTGGTTTTGAGGCTTTGGGGAGAGGTTCCGGGGCTTTGGCGTCGGTGTCTCATATAGGGGCCTAAAATAATTACCGATACCATGTTGGGAGTTCCTATTTTTTATAGTATAATGGGCCCCAAAACCCTATTCGAATCATTCGGGCCGTTATGTTAGGAGGTTCAGGAGCTGAACGGCTTTGGTTTTGGGCGCCCTGGTTGGTTCAGGGCAGGGTCTAGGGTCAGCAGAAGCGAGGTGCTGGAGGTGCGCCAATTTTTCGATGATTTTGAAAGCTCTGATCTCGTGGCAGCTTCTCTGCTTCAGCAGATTCAATGACATGAGTTAGGGTTTAGGGTGTAGGGATGTCTGAGGAGTTCCTTTTGAGAGTAGTATGTTCATGACCACACTTGTCTTAGCAGCTGGACTAAACGTTATCAGTGCCAAAGGCCACCAATACCTGCGACTACAGTCACCATACTTTCAGGCTTCTTTATGACTGAAGTTTAAAGTGACGAAATGAACCTTCAAGAGACTCTGATCGGCCATAGCTGTGCCGCTTCGAGATACGATGTGTCGCCTCCATCCGTCAAAGTGGACTCTCAAGAATAAGTATCATCATGCCCTGTTTCACCTTCGCATGGACGCGGTTAAGATAGAGATGTGGGACCAACGGCGGGTTGAATTCAGTCGAGACCCTGTAACATGCAGGACAATTGCTCTAGTTGTTTAGGCCCAGATTACATTGACGCCATTGACGCCATGCCCGGGTACCGGTTGTACAAGAGTTTGGTTGCCGGCGCAACCGGCCACGTCGGAGAGGCGCCTTGCCCTGGTGCCTGGTACAGAAAGGGGTCAGCATTAACAGAGACAGTGGCGCTTCGGTCACCGTATATGCAAGCTGCTGGGTCAGCACAGCCACCCGAGACGGTTAAACCCTAAACCGTAAACCACGCTGCACCGCCAAAACCAAAGCTTCAAGACGCCAGGCCCTAACGCGGCAGCTTTTGCTGTCGCCTTTGTGCGAGACGGCGGGGTTGCTCAGAAAAGGGGGTTTGTAGCAATCGTTTTCCTCCCCATCCTGCATGGTTGTGCCACCTTGCCTCATGAAGCCCTAAAATTCTCTACACCCCAAAACCAAAACCGCTCAACGCTATACCCCTAAACTGCCATCCCTAAGCCCCCAAAACCCTAAAACCCTTCAATCCCCAAAAGGTTGCCACGTAAAGCACCGCCTTGTGCGTGTCTTGGCACACCTTCGACCCCAGCTCGACCCGCCATCTTCTTGTTATTACCTATAGTCTCCATTGTAGTTCCTTTGTTGGTTTAACCAAATATATAATTAGGATCCTATAAGGTAACCCCCAAAATGAACTACAATGGAGACTATAGGTACTCTTAGTGATTCTGAGTACGTAGTTGCAGTAAAGTTCTACCCCTAAACACTCTCGAGATCAGGAGATGTTCGCCTTGCGGTTGGATACCTTGGGGCTTCAGGGTAATTTCAAACATGAGGTTGCAAAAGTGGTACCGTCAGAGTTACATTCGGGGTACTATTGGGTTACTGTAGGGGTTTAGGGCTCAGGTTTTAGGGTTTAAGGCTTAACTTAGGGTCCGCGATGTACACTCGTACATACTGCCCGGTAGGGTTGAGTATGGGATAGTTAGTGCAAGATGGTGCTCGTGATTGTACCCTAGTATCTGTATATGTATACATACACTCATGCCCGCAGACAGACATAGACATGCATTCTTACATGTTATATGTAGATACATACATATATATATATATATATATATATATATATATATACACATACGTATATACACACATATTACAAGCCCTCGGCCAGATACATTGAGCCATTTTTGAATATGGGCTACAGATGTTGTGCGACCCGCTTGCCGATCTTGAGGTGCACACTTTGGTCCGCCGGAAGACCGGCGCATTTAAGGAGCCAGGACCTCGGGGTGCGAGGGGGCAAGAGCTCTCAGTCAAACATCAGCGGTGGTTGGTTGGGTGGGAGGGGAGGGGAGAGGAGGTTGAAGGGTGTGCAAGATTGGACCCGAAATTTGACTTAGTGCTTCAGGTCGGGTCTAGCGGTTTCTGGTGTGGAGACACTTACCGAAGAGCTTTTCGGCATAGTAATAACCCGAAGCACCGCCACTATTTCGAGCACTTCGTGAATCTTACTCAAGTGATGCTGCTGTGCTAGATGGGAGACTTCTTTTGCATCGTGCAGTCGGGCCACCTTTGCGAGGCTTTCAGCTGCAGCCAAGCTCCACCAGCACATCGCAGACTTCCGTCGCCTGGATCGGAAGCAGTATGCCTGAATTCCAGCTCTTTCTGCACAGCCTGCTCTTCCCCAAAAGCGGAGCAGCGGCTTTGTGCTGATCAGCAAAGGCAATGATGACTGCGGAGTAGAAGCTTCCGCCCTTGATGGCGTTGATGCAGATGGGCGCTCAGATTGCGTGGCTTCTGCTTGCAGCCGCCCGGTGCAAGTTCCTTCTAGCTTTGAGAAGCTGAGGCTTTCTGCGTGCTGGGTGCTCGTTCCGGCTGGCCCGGTTCTGAGCATCAATCTCTCAGGTTCAAGGCACGTTGAGGTAGAGAGCAGTGCCAACAGAGTCTCCTTAGACCCTGAACCCTAAACCCTGGTGATCAGTGAAAAAACCCTGAGCCCTAAACCCCAAAACCCTATGTGTCCTAATTTCCTGGCTTGCTGAAGCCTCGCAGACCTTTCGGGCGATGCAGAAAAGGAGCTCAAAGAAAATCCTGAAACCCATTCCCGGGCAGAAGAAGCCGATAAAAAGCAGGTCCGATGCGGCAGATGTGGCCGCTGTGGAGCGCGATGCTGTGATCAATTTTGCGAGGCCTTGGGCGGCAAAAGGGGGCCCTTCAGTCGAGGGATCTAGGATTCGGGGGTTTAGGGTTTAGGGGCTTAGGGGTTTTAGGGGTTTAGGGTTTAGTGTAACATTTCGGGGTTAGGGGTTTAGGGTCTTAGGGTATAGGGGTTTTAGGGACTAGGTGTTTAGGGGTTTAGGGTTTAGGGGTAGGATTCGGGGATCTGTGGCTGGCTGGGTGCAGGTTCGCACCCCCTGTTTTTTTTGTGGAGGGGAGGGGGCAGAGGCGAGGGGGGGTGGAGGGTGCAGAGGGTAGCAGAGGCAACGCCGACAGTGGCGATGATGGCCGTTGGGCAGCGGCTGTTATCATGGCTGCCTACGCTGACAGTGACGGTCATAATGCTGCTGCTGTTGATAATCATGAAAGTGAAGTGTTTCCGGCGGCGATGGTTGAAGGAGGCAGTGGTGGGGGTATTGTTGGCGAGGGTGCTGACGCTGTTGCCGGGGATGGTGTGGCTGCTGGTGACGATGATAGGTGGCGGTGCATCATAGTGTGAGAACATCACGATGCTTCTAAAGCGCTCATAAATCGCCGGCGGAAACCCTGTTGAAACCCCTCCACCTCCACCGCCCTCAGGCCCCTAGCATTACTACGCCGCCCACACCGCCCTGCCCCACGGCCCTCATGGCCTGGAAGACCTTTATACAACCTACAAAGCCCAGCGATGTCGAAATCCTGGGCCCTACACCCTACATAAAACCCTAAACCCTAAACCCTACATAAAAACCCTATAACCCTAAACCCGAAACCCTAAACCCTACATAAAAACCCTATAACCCTAAACCCGAAACCCTAAACCTTACATAAAAACCCCAATAGCCCTAAACCCTATCACCTTTGGATCCCTCGCGAATCTCCCCGATCCAGCACCCTAAACCCTAAACCCTAAACCCTAAACCCTAAACCCTAAACCCTAAACCCTAAGGCTCTGCGAAGCCCGGGGAGTTCCTCACTTCTCGCTGCTCAGCTCTGTCGGATTCTCGGGAGCCTCGGGGTTAGGGCTTCCTTCAGGGTTCGGGGTTAGGGGGTTTCCGTTTGGGGGTTTAGGGGTTTAGGGTTTCGGTTTGGGGGTTAAGGGGTTTCGGGTTCAGGTTTAGTTTAGGGGTTGAGGGTTTAGGCCTTCCTGTAGGGTTCTTCTTAGTAGCTGAGAAGGTTCCCTTCAACCTTTTGGGGGTTTCTATACCCCTACCACAAATTCTAGGACCCGGAGTCGGCCCTTATTCCCTTTTTTGGGGGGTTAGGTTCCCTTACAACACCCTTTAGACCAAAAAGGGCACCCTTTTGATTCCTAGGTTACTCTTAGGTCTAGATTGTAAAGATTAAGCTTTTTTGGGCTAGGGTATTCAGCCCCTGAGGGTCAGGGTTTTGGGCCCGACAGGTTGTATGTAGACTTGGGTCCAGTAGCGAAGAGGGTTTTGGGTTTCGAGTTTCAGGTTTGGGGCTTTCGGTTTGGGGTTTGATTAGTTCTTCCACTCTCCACTTCTCAACTTCGAGAATTGGAATATCTCCTCAAACCCCAAACTCCTAGTCCCAGATCCCTAGAGACCCAAAGCGTGAGAGCCCCCTTATGCAGACGGAAATCGCGGGGCTTTCAAAACAGAACTGCCGTCAAGAAGGACCCCAAAGTAAGATAAGTAAGCGGCGGGAAGGTTTGGGCGGACCCGAAGAGCAACTTCGCCTTTGGCCGGCTACAAGGACTCTCGGTTCAGCAGGGTTTAGAGTTTTTTTTGTGGAATTCAAGGTTCAGGGTCTGGGATTTAGGGTTCAGGGTTTAGAGCGGAATCAGGGTTTAGGCAGGGTCTAGGATTTCGGGTTCAGGGTTTAGTGTTTAGGGGTTAGTGTGGGATTCAGGGTTGGTCTGGGGTTCATGGGGTCTCCATAGGGGGTCATAGGACGCTTCAGAGGAGACTAAAGTCTAAGGCAATTGTGACAAGATCTGGCGGATTTACAGACCCGTGCCTCCTATCAAGGCTCTGAGTACGAGCTTCATGGGGGAATGGATCCCTACATAACGCAATCCCCCAAAATAGTCCCCATCACCCATTCCCACATTCCCTACTAAGAATCATAGGTATTTCGAGCCTAGGATTTCTCGCTATTGCTCATGTTCCTAACATTAGTATTAGGGCGTTCGGTGGCCTATATATATCGTTTAGACTTTCGGGGTTTGAAAAGGCAAGACACTCCCTAGCCAGTAAGAAGGTGTAGGACCTAGGGCTTATGCCGATTTATGCTGCCAGACCTCGCCGAAAGCCGTAAACGCCCAAGCCCACGACACGGTTCAAGATTTAGGGTTTAGGGTTCTTCCTCCTTAAGTCCTACCCTACACTCTTCATCCTAGAGCCCCAAACCCTGTTGTCCCACCCTGTGGGCCTTCCCAGAGGAGAGGCGCTGGAGGCAAGCTGGGGTTTCGGAGTTCTAGACCTAGAGTTCAGGGTTTCGACTTGTAGGGTTTAGGGCTTAAAGCACCCTGGAGTTTACCCTGACCCCTAAACCCTAAACCCTAAACCCTATAAGCCCTAAACCCTAACCGTTTTACCCTGACCCCTAAACCCTCAAGCCCCCGCTAGAGTTGAGCGTTTCGGGTTTTCGGGCTTAGTTGTTTCGGACATCGAGCTGAGAGATGCCATGCAGTGGTGAGGCTCTTGGAAAGAGGGGCGAGGTTTCTGGACTGGGACTTTGGTTAATATAGGGTCTCAATAATTACTAATACTACTTTGGGGGTTCGTTATGAAAGTTATAGTATAGTGGGCCCCAAAACCCTATTCGAATTATTAAGGCCCCTATAGTAGGGTTTCAGGGCATAGAGTTTAGGGGTTTGAGCTTCTCGGACTCCCTGGACGGAGGAACCAGGGTTAGACCAGGCACCGCAGAGGAATGTCAGAGAACCGCCCCAAAAAGCCCAACCCCCTCTAAACGCCTGTGAGCCCCTAAACCCCAAACCCAACAGACCTTAAACCACATGACCCCAGCCCTAAACTACTAAGCCCTAAACCCTAAACCCTAAACCCTAAACCCTAAACTACTAAGCCCTCCTACACTCCTAAGCAATGAAGCCCCGAAAGCCGCGAGACCCAAGAGACCCTAAAGCCTCAAAGACCCAGCGAGCCACATCTCTTCCGGAAGCCCGGAGAAAACTCAACAATTCAACCCCAGAACACCAGAGCCCTAGGTTTAGGGTTTGGGATTAAGGGATTAGGGTTTAGAGCTTAGGATGTAGGGTTCCGAAACCCTGTACATAGGGTCTATAGAGTTTAGGGTTTATTGCGTCAGGCGGTTGCAAAGATGGACGGCTTCAAGAGAGTATCCATCTTCCGGCCCTCGGCAGCAACAGGCCAGCGCACTGCTCGGGATTTTGCCGCAGGGTTCGAGCTACCCAGACCCCCGGAGGATCCGAAAAGTAGATCCCTTAACAGGGGCAAAATGCCCTTAGTAGTACAGGGCCCCAAATCAGTTGATCTACTTTCTGGATCCTGTAGGTAACGGGGCGTGAATGCTCGGTACGAAGGTCCCCTACAAGGGCTCCCACATGGGTAGTTATCAAAATCATGGTCCCTTTTTGGGTACCCTAAATAATAGGTGCCGTATCATACTAGGGACCCAAAAAGGGACCATAATTTTGAAAGCCACCCACATGTTTTTGGTTTGAAATTTCCCCCGACGCGAAAGCCCTGATGAAATCTTTCAGGCTTCTACCCTGGAGCCCTACATAGGTTTTTAAAACAACCTAGGGTTTTTTAAACCCTAAACCCTAAACCCTAAACCGTGGGGTTTTTAGTTTTTTTCTTAAACCTATGCCTTTTAAACAAATTCTTCAGCCCCAATCCTCCAAGAACAGCCTTGGCCACACGCCCCCAGGGGCCCAGGTACCCACTTTTTTTTTGGGGTGCTTCGCTCTGATTTGTGTGTAGAAGTCCAGGTAGGTTTATTTGGGGGTGAAGGTAGGCCTTAGGGCTGGAACGCTGAAGAGGTAACCAACCTGTATCCTGAGCCATAAGCCCCAAACTCGAGACCTTGTAGATCCCTTGTCAAGCCTCACCCTCATGAAAATCGCTTTACTTCGGAAGGGCCCGACGGCCAGCTGGAAAGCTCGAGGGGACCTTTTTTGGCCTGCGCCCGAGCAGCCTAGGATTCATGATTTTGAGGTTGAGTTTATGTTTCAGGATTAGGGCTTTAGGGAGGGTTTAGGAGTTTAGGTTTGCCAAGAGTTACACAAACCATGCTCGCTGTGCTTTTGCTTCCAACCTCTTTTGGTGCTGTGTTGAAGTTCCTTGCACTGGGAACTGCCTTGAATTCAAGCACCTTCGTAACACCGTTGACGGTTTGCGGCCTATGGCTTGTCTTGGTGACTTTCGAGAACATGCCCAGACCCCAAAGTCGGCTCGTGCTTGTGATTCCTCCGTCGCAGGAGCTGTCTCGCTCTGTCTCCAGTCTGTCTTTCGAGGCCTTCAAGCCCTGCAATGGAGTTTTATTCGTGGAGCTGCTTGATTGGCTCGGCTCGTCCCCCCCGTGGTCGACGAGTCGAGACTTACGTCATGTGCTGGCAAAATTCGGAGCTCCAGCGAGCATGCTGACAGTTGAAGTTGAGCGAACGCTCAAGAAGCCTGCTGGTGGGCCAGTGAACACCACCCATCGCCACGGCGTGTCCTCAGATTGCTTGTGCATGCTTGCTCCACTGCGGTGCTTGCTCGGTAGCGTCACTTCGTCACTTCGTGGCACATGCGGTGATCATGCGACACCAGGACTTTGAGTGAGCACGCATTCGGTGAACGATCGTGTTTTCGAGCATACACGGAGGATGCCTCGAAAGATATGCATCTACTGGCCCGAGCCCGAAATCGTGCTCCCAAACAGCCTTGTGCCGACAGGACGCAGGCAACCGACCGGAGCTGCGAGTCCTATGTCTCGTGTGAGCACCCGCGACGTGAAATCACATTGCTGTGGCACGGGGGCTCGGGTTCCAAAGTCGGTCCTTTCGTAAACACGTCTACAAAACCCAGGACCAGGCCTTTGCCTTTATTTCTCTCCTTGACACCTGGTCTGCCGGGGAACCCAGGACTAACCATCCCCTAACAAGGAAGACTCACTCAGAAAGCCTCAGGAAAGTAGTCTCTCACAGGCTCTGTGCCAGTGCTGCATGGCATGCGGGCCTCGAAGACCCGCGGGGCCTGCATCTGCAGACGCCCCCCCAAAACGACTGAGACATGGTACTGGCATCCATCGTGAGCTCCTCTTTTGCCAAGCCAAGCAAAGCACTCGCGGCTTTGTTCTCTGCCTTCCCGAGGTCCCGCCTTGAGCCCTGTACCTCTGGTGTGGCAGGGCATTACGGTTGGCCGCGAACTTTCATTGCGCTACGAATCCACCATGATGCAACACTGGAAAGCCTAAAACTTTTCCAATGTCTATGGCTGTTTGAAAACTGTTCGGGAAGTAAAATCCAAAGCTGCTATGACCAAAAGCCCTGAAGCAGCTGTCACCTTGACTGTGCTGAGGGTGGGCTCCTGTGGCGATCTTTGCCCGTGGCCTCCCAGCTGCTCTGCTATGCTTTAAGGTTTCGCGTTTGCCGGTGTGCGGCTCAGGGTCTACATGGGATCCCAGAGACACCAATATCCCTTAATTAAGGAATATACATTAAATCATATTAAGGATCCTTACTATAATTTACAGAATATTCCTTAATTAAGGGGTATTGGAGTCGCTGGGATCGGGGCTTCAAGGTTTCGCACGTTTAGGATTCAGAGCTTCTGGTTTAGGGAATTATGCTATCGCTGCGGTGTTCTTTCTGAACAGCTTCCTGCCGCTACTGCGAATGGAACCCCAAACCCTACGCCCTAATGCGCAGGGTAGCTGTTGGTTGTAAGCCTAAATTTTTGAATTGCTAGTGTTCTTCTTCTTTGAGTGCTTAAGTCTTTGCAAGACTGCCTCTCCCGGCGTCTCAAGGTTGCAGTTTTGAGATCAAAGTGGTTGTTCTAGGTCGACTCAGTAAGCACCAATGGGTGGTTGTCAAAAATGTGGTCCCTTTTTGGGTCCTTAATGTAATACGGCACCTAATATTTAGGGTGCCCAAAAAGGGGCCATCTTTTTGACAACTACCCCAATCGCCACGGTTTCGGGGAACCCCGGGAGCCGCAAATCCAGTTGGTGACGTGATGCTTCTCCACAGGTTCATGCACAACCGCTATCGCCCGATGGCCGGGGACCGAGCATAGTAGCGTGCAACCCCAATGCTCAGCTCCGTCACTTAACGGCTGAGGGGTAGCCTGAATAATTCTACGACTGACTATTCCTCAAGTTTGCATACTTTAACTTTGCTCAACTCCCTGTTCTAATTCTTGAGGCAACCACAGTAGCGGAGTCTCTGGAAGAACACCTCCGAGCTCTAGTTCCAGAAGCTCTTGACCAGTATCTGGGGGTCATTCAAAATTGTGCCCCTTCTGGTACCCTAAACAGTAAGGGCTGTACTATTATACTATGAAACAAGAATCAGAGCCCAAAAGGGCCCGTATTTTTGATCAACTCCCACCTCCATCTCGCAGTCTTTGTCTCTGTGGGGGGGGGGGGTCGCTTTCAAGCCACTTTTTGAAGAAGGAGGTCCTACCAAAAATGTGATTCTTCTAGGGACTGTATGTCGAGCAACCTAGGCCCCAAAGGCCCTCAACCCTAAGTCCGAAATCCCATTGTGATGGGTCCCTTATTTCCTTTCCACCTCAAGCGCCTGTTCGAGAAACGTATTCCGTCCGCGGCTACCTTGAGGGTCAGGGGACTTAGTGCACCCTGAACCGTGAAGCCTTGAAGCATAAGCGCTTAAACCCTTGATCGGTCGAGTTGGAACCGGAGGTGCTCCACTGGAGCTACAGTTTGAGCTCGAATCTACTTACTACTTACTACTTCCGCTTATGGAGACTATGACATGTTCCTTAGCATCCGCGTGGAAGTCGAGATCAGCACCGTGTTTTGTCTCCGCATGCATATTTCGAGGCTCTAGAAGAGATCGTCCTGGCCATGCGCTTGAATGTCGAGCTCTGCGACGCTTCGGAAAAAGTGGAGAAGCTGGAGTACAGGCCAGGCATTTCCTGAGGACCCTTTCCAGCAATAACGTAGCCCCTGTGTGGGAGACAGCCTCAACACGCGAAGCCTAACCACAGAACACGGAAAAACCCTCCACCCCAGACCCTAAACCCTCAAGACCCCAAGTCCCCAAAGCCTAGCCCTAGCAAACCGGGACTTGTCATAACTCCTAAACCCAAACCCTCAGCCCTCAATGACAGGGACATGATGATGATCATCGGCAAGGACAGCGACCTCTGAGCGGTCCTTCCCAGACTTCACGCGGAGTGTTTTGCCTCCACATCCGTTGACTTTATTAGGAGCTCATGTTTATAGGCTTATACATGAGTAGTGGTATTCCTTTGGAGTCTATGGGCCATCATGGGCTTCGGGGTCCATCGTGGGCTTCGGGGTCCATCCTGGGCTCCGGGGTCTATGGGTTCGGGGTCTATGGGCTTCGGGGTCCATCGTGGGCTTCGGGGTCTATGGATTCGGGGTCTATGGTCTATGGGCTTCGGGGTCCATCACGGGCTTCGGGGTCTATGGGCTTCGGGGTCCATCATGGACTTCGGGGTCCATCGTGGGCTTCGGGGTCCATCCTGGGCTCCGGGGTCTATGGGCTTCGGGGTCCATCGTGGGCTTCGGGGTCTATGGATTCGGGGTCTATGGTCTATGGGCTTCGGGGTCCATCACGGGCTTCGGGGTCTATGGGCTTCGGGGTCCATCATGGGCTTCGGGGTCCATCGTGGGCTTCGGGGTCCATCCTGGGCTCCGGGGTCTATGGGTTCGGGGTCTATGGGCTTCGGGGTCCATCGTGGGCTTCGGGGTCTATGGATTCGGGGTCTATGGTCTATGGGCTTCGGGGTCCATCACGGGCTTCGGGGTCTATGGGCTTCGGGGTCCATCACGGGCTTCGGGGTCTATGGGCTTCGGGGTCCATCATGGGCTTCGGGGTCCATCGTGGGCTTCGGGGTCCATCCTGGGCTCCGGGGTCTATGGGTTCGGGGTCTATGGGCTTCGGGGTCCATCGTGGGCTTCGGGGTCTATGGATTCGGGGTCTATGGTCTATGGGCTTCGGGGTCCATCACGGGCTTCGGGGTCTATGGGCTTCGCGGTCCATCATGGGCTTCGGGGTCTATGGGCTTCGGGGTCCATCCTGGGCTCCGGGGTCTATGGGTTCGGGGTCTATGGGCTTCGGGGTCCATCGTGGGCTTCGGGGTCTGCGAGCTTCGGGGGTCTATGGGCTTATGGGCTTCGGGGTTCATGGGCTTGGTTTAGATTCATCACCGAATCATTAAACCCTGAACCCTAAACTCCAACCCCAAGCCCTAAATCCGAAACCCTGCACCCTCAAGCTCCGCAGAAGTCCAAGGGCGCGAGGGGATTTGCAGTCCGACTGGCCTGGAGCCTCGTCTCCCAGCGCGGGTTTCCGGCCTCGGATAAAGCCAAGTGCAGGGTTTGAGAGATGCCCAGGATCCCTGAATTGAAGCATATAATCGAGGGGCCAAAACTAGCTACCAATGGCCATAACCATTATCTTGTGGTTCCTACTATACTTTTAAAGTGGGATCTGCTCTTCGGATCCCGACAACTTCCCCGAAATCGAGGAAGTTGTGGTGGAAAGGAGACCCAGATGCCCAATAGAGGGGCCCAAAACAGATAGGCTAGGGCTTCTGGGCGAAAATATCGAGGCCGAAATAATTACCATAACTATGCTACAAAGGGGCCCAAAACCCTATTGCAACTATTAAAGCCCCTACAGCAGCAGCTAGCTGAGGTGCTCATGTCGGAGTGCGGTCCCTGAACAAGGAAGGGCCCCTTAGAATCCAGAGCAGTGTATAACGCCCCAAACTATTACACCTCATTTTCAGAATCGCACCCGCAGGTACATGTCCGGCGAGGAGCTCGGCAGTGCATTTGGACAGACTCGTTGGGCTACGGACCTTGTGCCTTGTGGTGCAGGCTTTAGGGTTTTGGGTTGAGCGGGTTGAGGTTCCAGAACTTGTATCAGGATTTGGGACTTCAAACGTTCATCAATCATTGAAAGAATGATCAACCCTAATGATTGGCCCTAACTCAGTTGAAATATTCATATGAGGTTTAGGGCTCAGGGTTTAGGGCGTAAGGCTGTAGGACTTAGTAGCTGCCCTCAAGGCCCGAGGTTCGAAACCCTTGTGCCATCTGAAAAGCCTTGAATCAGAGTTCAGAGGTTCATAGTACATAGCATCCTTGTTACCCTGGCCCTAAACCCTGAACCCTAAACACAGCAACCCGAGTTCCGTGAGGTGGCAATCAGATTGCCTCGGAGGCCACCGTCCAATCGAAGGTCAGAGCTTCCAAGTCATCAAGACAGGGCGTCTAATACCCATACTATTCCTTGAGGGTTCCTGACTCTGACTATACTGCAATGCCAAAACCCGACACACTGTTCGAATCATTGAGGTCCCGACGTTGTGGGCTTTAGGGTTTTGGGGGGGACAGGGCGTGCAGGGCCAGGGTGGTACCGGCGTGCGCACTCCGGCTTCGGGTTTCCTGCAAGGGATTCTTAAAGGGATCTGCGCGGTCTATAAGGTTTTTGTAGAGGGTAAAGGTCTTGGGTTTGAGGGTTGGGTTTGCCGGTTTCTTGAGTCTTGAGCTGCGGATTCAAGTTTGACAAGTTTGGCATGCAGGCTTCTTCAGGAGTTCGGGCGCGACTGCGGAGCCTTTTTGGGGAGCCTTGAGGCTCAAGTTTAGGGTTTAGGGTTCCGTAAAAGGGATCCATAAGGGATCTATAAGGGTACTATATTACTGTTTATGGACTGCTGAACTCCAAAACCCCTAGCACGGCTGCAGGTCATGTCCGATAGATCGCTCGTACAGCTCCCGAAGGTCAGAAAGGAAGAGTAATAATTACGACTTACGAACATGATTCATGAGGTTCCCTTTTGTGATTGTGGAATCGTATTATAAGATGCCCCCAAAACTCTATCGACCTTGTTACGAGGGCCCCTCTTTCGCCTGTTGATGGGTAGTTTTGAATCTTGAGTTCCTGTTCGGTCTTCAGCAGACTACCACAAAATTTGCACACAGGATGCCAAGAGGTCGACCCATAATGCAGCGGCCTTAACACTTACAGTAGGGTTTGGCGTACAGTGTTGTACATTTGTAAGGGAGCCATAAGTGGATACTCATCAGAGTACCCAACAAGTGACCGACAGCTGAATCGTGTCTCGGCTGTCAGGCTGCAAACTTAAACTAACACCGAGCCAATAAACCTTGAATTGCAAGACTCTGTAAACTGTAAACCCCATCATCCAAAACCTTCCACCTGCGTGCAGAGCCCGAACTTCTCTACTGTTTCTTTTCCCGGAACAACCCCTGTGCCAGCTCCCACACCCCTAGCTAGGATCCCTAAGCCTCCTCGCTGTTGCTGGTCCGAAGGTTGCAAGCTCCGTGGAACGAGATCCAGGCACTCCGTTACCTCTCTTTGAGGTTCAAGATAGAGGTTTAAGTTTCGCGTTCGAAATTCCAGAAACGAGCTCATAATGACCTTGTGAGGGCTAAGGCGGGTAAGGGTTGCAGGCTGAGGATTCATGGTGTAGCGCAGTGTGGGGTTCACTAGGAGCTCATACTGCCAAGTATTTGAACTTTAGGGGTTAGGTAGGGTTTGGGTTCGTTGCCCATCATGATGAAGTCTTCCTTGAAGCCTCAGGTTTTAAAACTTGCTGTCAAAACCAAGCCTTGCAAAGACCCTGCAACTGCCTTATTAGCCTTTGTAACAACCCTAGAAAGCCCTGCCCTAAACCCTAAACTCTGTAGAAGCTTCAAGGGCGTACAAAGTCGTAGAATGTCGTAGAGCAGCTAGATTCCCTAGGCCCTAAACCCTAAACTTCAAACCCGAAAACCTAAACCCTAAACCTTGAACCCTAAACCTTAAAGCCTAAACCTTAAAGCCTA